GTGCGCACGTCTCATACATGTTGTACGATGCATCCAATGTTGAGTGAAGTGAACAGTGCCCCGATCGGAAACGACTCTACTACAACAACGGACAGGGAATCGAATACATTAAGACGATTTCATACTATTGATCGTGTATCATAGAATTAAACTGGCACCAGTACATGTTCAAAATTATTGCATGAAAGTTTGGACAGCTTTCTGAAAAGCGTGGGATACATTTGCAGCCATTTGGAGATGCATTATGTCAATTTTTTCTGTATTTTTCAGACTTTGGCCTACAATCATTTTTTATACATCGTTGCGCTGCATCTTTTTTAGAACAAAAACGCATCATTGTGCCCAGAAAACTGCTTTCATAAATGCTTCCGTCTCTGCGTTTTTTTCATACTCTTGGAATTGCAAAAATGTAAATAGGGCAGACTTTATGTACACTGTGGCGTTTGCATGTTTGTCTAAGTTTTTCAACTCCAGGTTTAAACAGGCTATAAAATTGATGCCTATTTAGAACCCAATCTTTGACCTTGCCTTTTAATAAATTGCCTGTTCACTGGGACAGTCTTGATTTTCCAAGGCTTGTAAAAGAAGAAATGGGAATTGTCAGAAATTGATCTTTTTTCTAGCAAATGCTTTCAAAATGGAACTTTTATTTGAAATTATTTGAATCGTTATTTGAAATTCAGATTGAAATTTACGTTTTTTTTTTTTGCAAAATTCGCGTTGAATTTGCTGAAGAAATGAATCCGGTGCTGCGTAATGTGCGCATTCAGTGGACTACCTTTTTTGGCTAATTTTTATCGTGTATTTACGTCTCACTTCAGAGAGCCAAAATCCCTTTAGTATCCATCCGCTTTTCTGAAAGGCGAAGGTATTCGACAAGTAGACGAAATTGTAGCAAATGCCAGAAGCAAAAACTCGCTAGTGGTGATTCTTGGATGATCGCTCAGAAGCATGCTGATGGCAAATTAACATTGTTAGTACAGTTTACCACTGAAACAAATGGCGAAATTTAGAGGGACTGGTGTTGCACGTTTGGTGGAGTGGAACCCTCAGCCTACTATCCAATAGCGGTGATACTCGCCACTTCGATGCCTCTCAGACATGGCTTCTTCACTTTTTATGCGTTTTTTGCAGCTATGCAACGCAAAAACGCATATTGTCGAGGGGTTGTCTGTGTGTGTATGTGTGTGCGTCTGTAATGAATTTTCATCTCGAGATCCACGAAAGCTACAAGGCTGAAAATTTAGTGACTTAATTTACACATACGTGCGGGCTCGTATTCTCAAAATGGGCGCTCTGGTCCGCGTGGTTCACACGTAAGGGCACGTGAAAGTTTTTTCGGCGGGAAAGCGTTTTCGGGAACGGCCCATGCTAGGAGACTGGAACTTCACAGAGTTGTTCCTCGGCCACGTATAATCCAAAGATTTCAAATTCAGCCTTCACGCACCCTCAGAACTCACGTACGCACACGTCAAAAGTTTAAACTGGCATCATACCAATTCCATATTTAAGGTGATCAATAAGCTGCAGAGAGCTGCAATTCTGCAGCGTTACTTATCGCCCACTGTTGTGTCCGTGAAAGTAAAATAATTGTCAGTTCTTCTGCATCTCATGTACGAACACGTGAAAATTTCATGCATGCGCTTTTGTATCTTCAGAATTGAACCAGCCACGGAACCTGGGCTTTCTGAGCATAACCGACGGTGGCCTTTGACCGAATGCACGCAAAAACGACTTGCACATCACTTTTACGTCTCACGTACATTTCACGTGTACACACGTGAAACTTGACGTAACTCTGCATCCGGAGCAGCTGGAGTGCTGAAACTTTCTGAGCGCCACCCAGGACCGTATTTGACCAATTGCGGCGAAAAAAGTACTCACGTTGCTACTCATGTACGAACACGTGAAATTTGGCATAACTCCGCAACCGAAGCATCCAGAGCGCTGAATTTTTCGGGCATGGATTGGGAGTCACTGTAATAATTTCTAACAGTCGTGGTGGCCAGTCACAATTCTTTTAGCTAGAAGCATCTGCCGAGAAGAGCGTGCCACTGGCGAAAAGACGCATTCTCGTATCGGCAGCCGGTACGCTTTCGACTAAGTTCTTGTGCTGTTGTTTAGTGTTACTATGTAAGATTTTTTATTGCTTGTGTCATAAAATGACGTTTTGCTATTTGTGATGAAGACGGGTTTTGTTAATAATGACAATGATTTCTGCTGAAGCTTGCCGCTGACCAGTTGGACATTCTGAGCGTGTTTTCTGCTCTTCAGCCTCCACTACTCCATCACTGAAACCAATCAGTAGAAAAGTTCTGAGCAATGACTAAACTAATGACTAAACCTGGGCCCTCTCCCCCTCCCCCCCCCCCCCCCCCCCCCCCCCCCCCCCCCCCCCC